ATTGTAGTTGATCCAATAAAGTGCCATCAACGGAGTTCCTGGATACCTGGACAAGAAACAGGTATGCCAGCTTACTGAAAATCAGGCCTAAAAAATTACCTGAAGATGCTGCAAAGTATGTGTTTTAAATGTTAAGTGAAAGTAAGGGTTGCATCAGTTTAAACAGAAGTTCTCTACAGAAGTATCAACTAGGGGACAAAAGAAATAGGTACAATCCTTTCCCACAGAATTAGAACTCAAGTGGTATCATTATCTAAGAGCACATCTGGTATGGACAGTGTGCCAGTTAGTCAAGGTCAAGCCACAGCAATGGGCAACAGAATTCAAATCCAGATATACTGGTTGTTTTCTTGTTCATAGTCCCTAAAGCCAATTTGTGGATTAAAGTTTAAAGACACATCAGGCAAAAGATACTCCTCTTTTCACTAGGAAAGAGAAAATTGGCTAATCCAGAGATATCATTTTCCTCATCAATCACTAAGGGCCCTTGATATCCACTGGGGTTTGGTTCCAGGACCCCTTGTGGATAACATAATCTGTAGATACCCATGTCCCATTAAATGCAATGAAATAGTAAAATGGCATTCCCTCATATAAAATGGCAAAATCAAATTTTGCTTTGTGAATTTTTTTTAAAAAAATATTTTCAAGCTATGGATGGTTTCATTCATGGATAAAACAAAAACTATGTGTGGATACAGAGGGATGACTGTACTTCTGTTCTCTCACTTACTTGAAGGGACTGTTGAGACCTTGACACACACAAACCAAGAGAGCTAATGAGAAAGCACTACATTTCTACAATTTCCTACCCTTACATACACCCTTTTGAGGAGAAAAAAAACAACCCTGGGTAATAACATTGTGGATCTTTCATTTAACTAGTACAGGACACTTGCAGTTTCTTTTTAAGAAAAATGAGAAACAAAAAGGAATAGGCAACATATCACTAAACCTGTAGTTCATGGTTGTTGCAGTGTGTTATTGCAGATAAAAGCAAAACAGACAATATGTACATATGTGTGAAAGATGTGCTGTCCTTGGTGGGCAATACACAACTCTAAATGTCAGAGGAATTAGTTGGTGGTTGAAGAAGACAGTCTAGATAAACAATTCCCTTGTTGTAAAATGGTGAATTAAAATAATTCTAGACCTTTCAGAGGAAAGCACAGAAATACTGTGTACTATTCAGAAAGATGAAGAAGGTGAGTGTAAGTTGTTAGTCCTCCCTCCCTCCCCAAAGACTAATCAAACTGTCCTGAAATGCTGGTATCACTCCAGTATTAAAGACAATTGATTTATACATTATATGAAATAAGTCCCTAGAATCAGACAAATTATGGATATTCTGCAAGTAGCCGGTGTATTCACAATTATGGCAATAATCTTCTGACCATAAATGTGAGCTGTAACATTGCTTCATAGGTATCTCTGAGTCATACCAATGCTACCATACTTATTCACAGGAACCACAATTTATCTATCTGAACTAAAAAAAAAATCAACAAACATGAAGGTCCTTGGTGACAGGGAAAGCAGTTCTCCATGTACCTGAATTATTTATTGCTATCTGAAGTGTACCTAATACTCCAAAATGAGCCCACAGTGCTTCCTGTCCTCCCACTCCCTCCTATTTTACCTGAGAAATCTTACAAGCAACACCCCCAGAGAGCCCTGTCCTGGGTTTCTGGTGCTTCTTTAACTTCAAGAGTCTCAGCAGCAGTGCCCCAGAAAG